AACAGCGATAGGGCTATGACCAATGGGCTACGAGCTCCATTGCATGGTTCAGAACCCTGAAATCGCTAGAATTCAGAGAAAAGTGAAATTACCACATGGAGAAAGGTTCCTGTGGCCTATTTTCCTTGCTATTAAGCGTCGCGTATCGCAACGCGTGCGCATGTGCAACTCCGTCGCGTTTATTTTGCCATGATGACACCATGGAACACTATTCTCCAGAGAGGTCTATCTGGTTATTCAACGAATCCACTCAGGTAGGGATAAATTCATCTGATTAATCCAAGTACTGATTCAAGAATACGGTAGCAGGGTTCTATGCAGTTCTTCTCGTTAGGACATTCTGAACTCAATTTCACAGCAGCCCAGGATTCAATTGCTTTTTGCAAGATGCGGCATTTACACGAAAGATTGGATTCCATTATGGCGAAAACTATCCATTACCTCCGATGATCATGCTTCTTAGCCCTTGAATACGAACATCGATGAAGGGGTCCCCACTTCACAAACATAAATACGTCCAAAAGAGACACTGAACCCTAGCGTACTTTTTCTCACTAGTTTTTTAATTAATCAAATTGATTACTTTATCAGCTTAAGCCCCAACTCTATTCTTGAAAGGTAACATTTGAAAAGCAAATTTTTCCATCTGAGATCCTATTATTCGAAAATACGCCCTGGAGGGCAAATAAATCCATAAGAACAGGAACGTACCCCTTGCTATTAACAAAAAAACTTTTGTTTCTTCTCTTTACACTTTTTCGTCTCGAAAGGGTTTTTTTTCTCTTTTTCCTTTGCGGACAAATACCTTTTCGTCTCAAGTTTGCTTTTTCTTCTTCCGACTCCAAACCAAGGGTGTGGGCGGGGTTGCCTACTACATTACGCTCCCGCTATTGGCGATCCCGTTTTTATCGATTGGGTAGAATCCTTGGATTCACAGCTTAAGTACAGCAGTTCAGTAGGTCTGCAGAATCTTCTGAACTTCGCCTAAGAGAGGAAATGAAGAGTAATCCCATCAATCAACCTTCGAATTGCAGCAGCGAATTACGGCAAAGGGGACATGTGGTGGCTAGAAAAGTGCACTTCGTGCTCAACTCTCGCGGCTTTTGCAGCTGCAGCACATGTGGTCATCTAATATCCTCGACAGATGCTGGGGATCCCGAACTCAAGCTCCTCGTCATAGGCTGTGTACTAAGTAATGGCTTCTATTTTTGGACCACTTTTGCCCATCTATATGAACCTTTCGACCAAAATGGTAATGGCCCTGATATATTACCATTGCCCACAGCGAATTTACCAAAACGGGCATTAAAATTACCGTATTCTCGCATTGGTAGTAGTACATATTGATGCCCCAGTTTCCGGTTTTCTTCTGCCCATCGACCACTTCTCCCGAATAGGCACATTCACGAATTGTTGATTTCTTGCTTTCAACAGTCTGAAAAGAAAACATTCTCAACGCAAAATTAATCATATGTTAACTAGTATTACTGCACCAATAATATTGAAGTTGAGCTATCAAATGAAAGTCATTTTGTAAAGTTAACCTGTATAATTTTTCGACAGCCTTTTGCGTGTGCTCCTTTGAATGTGCCTTCTTGAAGAACTGGGCAGGGCTGAAATGAAAAAATCAAATAACCCAAAGTCAAGCCTTTTCAGTACCAAGGCAATCTGCTTCCCTGACGAGAAGGCAGTTCTTGATTACTGTCGGAATTCAAGAGAACAATCAACTATCCAGTTAGCGTTCACATTATTTACTTGAATAATCTAAAGTGATTTTCCGAGAAACGGTCCCACCTTAATGAACGGCTTCAACTTGTCCAAGTCGCTCGACTCACAATCTTCTTGATTGTCACTGCTCGAGATACATTGGTAGCATTTGTGTTCGGCACTGAAAAAAATTTCGGGAAACTCGATAAAATTGACTTTCAGCATGTAGCTATCATGGGACCAGGCAAACTTTCAAAGTGCCATACTGCAGCTTTAATAGTATCGAACTTCGACTTGTAAATTTTTTCCAATGCTTTTCTATAACAACTAGTCGAGATTTCAAAAAAAGTGTAAAAATTGCTCTCCTTCGAAGGGGTGTCGTGCAGGAGGAACGGAATTGTCGCGTCGCGGCAAGAGACGTCGCGCGTGAAGGAATGTAGTAGAATGCAGCAGCAAGTAAGAAAAACAGGAACAAAAGAAATAACAGTAGAATCATGCCAAAAGTAATAATCGCATAGCGAATGAGCTGTATGAAGAATGCTAGAACCGTTACAATGAGGCAAATGGTCCGCGACAGCCGCGTGCGGCGGATCGATTGCACAAAACCGTTCCTACTGCCCGTCTCCCCATTCGAAGTATTTTGTTCACTTTTGTGCTTCAGCTTGGCTTTATCTATCAGTCATATTTTACATTTTTTTACAACCCTGTCCATTTTAAAATCGTCATCAGCACTGTCCATTTATCATCATTACGCTTTTTTCACTACACTATCATTCCCTTTCGTGGTGCCCCCCTAGTCTTTGAGCTGTAGGCGGCTGGACTTGGCCTATGCCTGTCAAAGTTCCTGGGTGAAGTTGATTATTCTCCCTTCGCTGCCAACACTTTGTTTTCGTTCTCTCTCCACTGTTTTCGGTGATATGCATCTCTTAAGTAGTCGTCGTAGATTCATGGAAAAATTTGATAAGTGACAGAGTCATGAGGAAGCAGCAGCGGCCGTTTATCATGATAAAACCCGTTTCGATTGTCGCAATTGTTCAAACAAACAAAAAAAAATCATAGACCTCCAGCGAGCATGTTGTAAATCAGGAAATGGTCACTGTTGTTATTGTATAAACTGCTGTTATTGTATAATACCAATAATGACAGGTTGACCTTACATGCATGAAGTAAAGTATTGAAAAGTATTGAAACATGACAATTGTGAGTAAAGCAGTGAAGTAATATTACTGAGTAATGCAGGGTTACTACTATTGAAGTTAATGATTACGCATGTCTTTAGACATGGTGCCTATCCATTAGATCTCTGGGAATGAGATGACTCAGGCCTGGCCTATCAGGCTTTTTGCAGCCGTAGAGGGTGAAGAGCAGTAATGAATTATTATTAGAAATGAAAGCACATCATCAAAAGCATTTTGATTAATTAATTACTATAATAATTATGCACTTTACTGTTAGAGCAACTAGTTACTTTAGTGAGCTGCATGAAGCACAGCAAAGCTGCTCAGTGGCTTTGTAACGTAAATTTCGAAGTATGGGAGCCTACCCAGCCCATCTGTTCCCGGATATTTCGTGGGTTTTGGTAGTCATGACCTAGGTGGAAAAGATGATTTCCACTTAAACCTTCCCCAAGCGTACACCAGGGTGCCCTTCTTCACGAAATCTGTAAGATCGGTTCACTGGGGATAAGTTTTCCAAACTCTCTGGAATTTTCATGTCTACAAAGCTACTCACAGCCTAAGTTTACTCAAGTAAAACGATTTGTTAGCCTTCCTAAAATTGTCGAAGCAGCCCCGAAAAACTCAAAAAAAAGTAGGCAGAAGAGCATGTTTGCGAAATACTAAAGTGTACTTACTTTACCGTGAACTCATTTTTCAAGAGCTCTTACGAAAGGCTTTCAGGGGTAACCCAGAGGTTCGGTGTCACAGAGTTNGTTGTAAACAACATATTTACTCTTTTTCATTCATAATAGTAAACAAGAATGTATACGTACCTTGTAAAGACAATTCCTAAAGTGAAGACCAGCGATACGAAAACGAATTTCATTATAACTGTAATAAATACTACATTGAACGGGAATAGGACGTCACCACGATGACGAACGATGCCAAAACATCACCCATAAAAATTCCGTACATAATTATGAGCTAATCAATAGCAACAAATGAAAAGCTTGTGATTAATCAATAGCGGCGATAAATTTCTGAACGAATCGATGATTTGATAAGCCCTGTTGGTTGTTACAGGAAGTAATGCCGAACGAAATGTCTTTCAGATCAACGGCATTACGCCGTCGATCAAAAGCAAACACACTTAAATGTGGGCAGATTCGGGTGCTACCCCTATGAAACGGGAAATTTGATAAATTCAAATTGATAGGTTGGAAAATGACAAGGAACTTTGTGAAGACTAAACTAGACAGTACTAAATAATCAGGAAAAAGTAAAATGTTCTGGAACATTGTTTGATTTTTAGCTGACTGAAACAATGAACAAAATTGACAATCACTGATGATTACGGTAACCACTTCATGAAAAGTGAAATGCAATTTGATTACCGGAAATGTGGAAAAGAAAATTACTGCAGAAATCACATTGCATCGGTGCAAATGAAACAGAATTAGCTTGCAAAATGCCTGCAAATGAGAAAAAAACTCTTTGGACGTAGATTGTTTTGAGCTTTACAGAACTATCTAGTNGAAATGCAATTTGATTACCGGAAATGTGGAAAAGAAAATTACTGCAGAAATCACATTGCATCGGTGCAAATGAAACAGGATTAGCTTGCAAAATGCCTACAAATGAGAAAAAACTCTTTGGACGTAGATTGTTTTGAGCTTTACAGAACTATCTAGTAATGAAAGTCAAGTAGTCTACGACTCTTACAGCCAAGACTTTTAAACAACCAAAGGAAAGACTATTTCACTGGAACTGAAGCGTCTTCACGTGTATATACACATAGGATAAAAGCTCCTACGGGTGGCGTTCTATCGATTGCACGAGGGTGGCCTGGTTCATATGAGAGAGAGTCGAGGAGCACACGGCCAGTGAAAATGCTGTTGTCCGGGTTGGAAGCCGAAGAACAAAACGCTTGGTAGATTATCGAATTCACTGCCTATTGATTGATTATTGATCTCTGTCTGGTCATAACGTTTTGTTCCAGTTTTTTATGTCTATAGCTGCCCAAGCTACAACCCTCCAATCAGAAACTTAAAAAAACCTCGATTGACCTAAATTTACTCAATATTAACTAAAACCTACATGATTTCAAATGTTCAAAAATGCCTCCCTTAAGTTCTCCTCTGTGAATATTGTTGAAGAACTTTATTAAATGCTAACATAACTAAAAGGCTATAGATGTCGTATTCTCCTGTAGGGCTTGCTGGGTTAGGCCCCTCTTAGGAGCAGTTCCAGCCTCAGAAACACTGCTCACAGCGAACTCATGAGCAACTTCATATGCATCCCAATTGGCAGATTCTACCCACTTAACACGAGTTTATGTTCTGGGGGACTTCTACATGGAAAGATTATAAACCGCCTTATCAGGTAGCTCCGCCCACAAGCCCATAGTGGGCACTCCGTTTGAAAATGGCGGGAAAATCACCCAATAGCAAATAGCAAAGTTAAGCTCTGTGGGACCAGAGAAATGATCTCGTAGCCAAGGGGACTGGAATTCCACTGTAATCACGTTATGATGATGGTTCTTTTAGTCGCTTACTTTGAGTAACCCTCTTCTGAGTAGTGAAATCCCGTTTGCATTCAAAATTTACATAAGGGATCGAATGCAGAACCGCAGTGAATACATTAGGCGTTTGCCTTCATCATTAGAAAATTTAGAATTGCAAATCATTATACTTTCAGCTTTGCATGTATTTGCCTTCCTGCACTAGCTCTTCTTGCTAAAAGCAAATAGATGGAGCTTTCAGACCGGGAATCTACAATAAAGCCAGTAATTTTGAATTTTGACAGTAATTTTGAACTATGTAATTTCTTCTGCAAGTACGCTCTCTAACTATGACAAAGTGACATAATTTCAAAGAATCCCGCCATCACAATTGTGATAAATCAATATGGGCGTGAGCTAAAGGAGGAAAAAGAGCACAAAATGAGTGCAACGGGCACTTATTTATTTTTTTATTTATTTGTGCACTTAATGGTGCGCTACAACAAGGCAGAAGGTAAGTTTGGCAAGCATATTTAGACGAAAAACAAACCAATAAACAAACGCTAAACTCGTAAAAGAGCTGCAGAAAAGAAAAAAAANAAAAAAAAGTAAAAGGAGTCGAGCTTCCAGCATTCCAGACCTGCCTACACAAAAAAGGACGACCCAAGAAGGTACTTCAAATAAGGATGTAGACGAAAGCACGTCTTGACAGAATAGAAAGAAATTCCTCTTGAACAGAAGAAATATAAAGGAAGAAGAGAAAACTTATGAAATTCGTTGTGCGGACCCTATACTTTATTAATATTTACGGTTCAGCAAAAGATATTAGGCAAACTGTTGTTAAGTCAACTACAGCTTATAATCACTTCACGAAAAAAGCAAGAAATATATAATAAAATAGTGGCAAGGATGCCAAAACCGAACTACCTTGCCAAGTTAGTAAGTAGCGTAGTGGTCTTACATGGCAGACCCATTCAGTTCCCCAGAAATCGATCTCGAGTAGGTTGCAGATCAAATGGGAGGATGGGGAAAGTGTTGCCGTTGGAATTTGGGACTGAAAGTTGCCGAACAAACCTATCAGCGTCCATCAGACCTAGCGTTGCTATTCTGAGTCCCATTTGGCAATGATAACAGCCAGCAATTTGAGTTATCAAACAACTTATCACACCTACTAACTACGTAGTATTGATAAAAATGCCCATCAAATTGCTAACATCCAATTTTGACCCACAGTCTTATCATGCAAACAGTTACTGGTTATTACTGATTGATGTGCGTTAGACGTCTTGTATGTATTTCATTACATTTTTGTCATAATTTACAAAATTTCCTTTTAATTTCTCGGTGAAAATGTAGTTGGGGGGTGCCAGGCACTTTTATGCTCTGAATTTCTGAAACGTTCACTTTTCTCTTACTCATAAATTAATCGAAATTATCCGCTACTGCAATGCGCTAATTTTTTCTGAGTTGCGCCACGCACATGACATGCCCACTGGTGAAGTGGAGAAGGTTCGCGTGTTCCAAAAAACCTGGTCCAGAATTTGGTCCCGGATTATAGACACGGGGCTGACTCCTCTTGCCAAGTTCAACCACCAATGTGGCGGGTTAGGAAGAAATGATTGGGGAAATACGAGATTTTCATGTAGGATTACTTTTCACTAGTGTTCTCTGCCGCTACTTAGCTATTAGTTCTGTAGATATTTGTTTACCCGATGTTTTTTTCTGAAGATCCTCTTATGAAACCAGTATTACGAAAAACTTTGTTCTCTGTTGTTTACCTAACCTCCTCATATTACGGTTTAGAACAATGCAGCACTATAGGATCGATGTAAGTGGATTAAGTTGAAGGATAATCAATCGAAGGTCTAAGCGCTCTCTCTGAACTTTAAGAGGAATCACATTTGAAAATAAAATGTAGTAAGCAGTCACACAAAAAAGTTATCAGAGCCTTGAAAAGCCTCCCCAGCGCTTCTATGGGCTGGCTTTCTCCTAGTCTGTTTTTTGCTAACTTTATAAAGGAAACTGTGGCTTGAAACAATACTTGTTGGTAATTGGTTCATGTCATGGCTTGTTAAGCCATATGACCAGGCCTGCCTGTAAACAAATGAATTTCGGCTTGTACATATAAACATTGTTACGGATTTCGATCTTTTGAAGGCACAGTTCACGGTAAAAATGGTTCCTGAGTTCTCCCCCTAAGAATGCCCAGTGGCCCCCATGGGTAACAGCAAGGTAGCTGTGAAGTTTCAAAACTCAACAGCTGAGGCATAGGGGGAGCCCCGGTACCGGATCGCCCGGACTTTCCGCCCCTCTATCGATGTCACGTCAGACGAGTGTCGAGGCGGTACAGATAGCAATATACGTTCTAGGACCCACACACAATCAGCTGATCGCCGAGCAATGAGGCGATATTTTTCTCCCATTCTTTTTGCCTCTGATATTATTTTTGCTGCTGCGATCCCTTATTTAATTTTCTACCTCAAGTGGCTAAAGAAGGTGGGCTATTTTTGCTGTTACCCCAGCTACTAGGGTTTTTGTTAACCTATGCTTGTAAGAAAATAAATTTTTGCTTACCGTAGTTAGCTATTCGCACAAGGACCCACACGTACGCAATAACCCACATTGTATAGCTCGTCCAAACGCCCNNNCCCACTCTTCTTCATTTTTCTGGTCTCATTCTAGTCCAGCCCCCTTTTCAACGATTTTTCGAAGCCTTTTATCACTTTGCAAACACCTATTCGCGTACTTTCTTTGCCTTCATCGTACTATTTTATCCGTTTTCTTTTCAGTATCTTCCGTTTTTCGTCTTGATCTGGACTATCCGAGATTACCGTGAACTGTGCCTTCAAGGCTTTTGCATTTGAGCGATGTTAGCGCCACTCCGACGTTCCAAGGTTTACAGTTACAACTATATTTGCTATCAGTTTTACAAGATGGCACCAATGTCGAGTACAATGGTATCAGTTTTAAAGGCAGTTTGTCTTGAGTTATGTGTTTGTAAAAGCAATGAGTAATAGTAAATTATGGTAGCGAAGTGCAATGACAGATTGGAATTGGTGGTGGTTAGAAAAAAAGGAGGAAGTTCTATGTTTTAGTCCTGCCAATGATGATTTCGAGCTCGGAGCAGTAGTACTCTGATGCGAATAAGAGCTATGAGTAGAAGTATCGGTCGAGCTAGTTCTGTTCAAGCAAAAGCCTGAAATTTAGTCTGACGTATTGTACAAGATGGTAAAGGAAAAAAGTAGAAAGAGTTCTGAAGGATCTAACGAAACGAAAGTGCTCAACTGCTTACTGACTACACTTCCTCAAGGGCTGATGGTTTATGTACCCACCTGAGCCAATAAAAACATCCAATTGAAACCATCTGACTTTCATCAGTCATTCCAAGTCGATGTTTTTAGCATATGGTTGTTGATCATCACAACATATTTGTCTGCGAAAACCTTGAACCATAAATAGTCGCTGGTCCCTTAGCTGAAGGTCGAATGACGCAAAGTTTCACTGGCTGCAGTTACAGAATTTATGCCACCCCATATGAGGCACTATGCCCTCCGCTACCGCCAAAAGGGCCTAAGTTTGCTCCAGAACTTGATCAAAGTCTCCATAAAGAAACATGTTGTCCATTTGTCGTCAGGCGAGATTCATTCAGTTTGTCAAATGCTGTCAATGGTCTAGCCCTGATGTTTTCTGAATGCAGCAATGCTCTTGATTTTTGGTGCATGACTACTAT